CTATGGACCTACGACAGACCTACCAACTGTCTACGAATACACAGGTCACAGGTTCAACTCTCGGGGTCTACACAGATACTGTACATGGGTAGGGTAAGGTCTAGGGATCGAACCCTGGGTACTGCATCTGCTACTGCTAAAGGGTGAAAACCGTTTCACTCCCGCCGTCCTAAATTTGAGGTCCTCCAAGAACATCTTAGTCCAAGGCGGGACCTTTACCTTTCCTGTCACACTCATAAGCTCTTACTATGTCGGGAGTTGTCTCTAGAAGTTCTGTTCTTGTGAACCAGCGGTCGTCTTCCGGCTCTTGGTAGGCAAACCGAACCTTATACTGCTTCTGGGGACGACCTCGACCTCCTGTCCTAAACACATCCTCGTCTACAATACCTTCAATATCATAATTTCCGTCCATATCCGGAGGAATCATAGATTGTCTTGAAGGGAACTGTTGGCTTGTGACACACGGCAACAGCTTTGAAGCGTGGAACACAGGATATGTGTGGAGGTGTAATGCAATCTCTATAGTGTAGGAGGGTCCATCTTCTTCGCCCTTAACTTCTAGAACCGGCCACGGTCCTCTATACGCAGGCAGTAACTTCTGCGAGATGTTCTCCTCAGGTGCAAACTCTTTAGCCTTGACCCAGACTAAGTCGCCTACCTGAAACTGTGACGGGCGACGGTGCTTATTAGCCTGTTCTATCATTCTGTGTTGGGCCTTCCTGAGGTTCTCAACAACAGTTGCTAATTCTTTCTCGTGCTGTATCGCGAACTCCCTGGTACCGGGCGGTAATCTATGAATCTGGTCCCGGTTCAGTCCTTCGAACAGTCTACAAGGTCTAAAGGACTTGTGCAGCTCATTGGGAGTACGACAGGTGGATAGATGCACGCTGTTGTTGTATGCACTAGCTACCTTAGGCAACATCTCATCCCAGTTGATCTGATCTGGTCTAATATACATGCGCAAAACTTGTTGTAGGATCTTGTTCATCTGTTCAGTCTGACCGTTAGTCCCTGGGTGACGGTCGGACGACATTAACAACTTAGATCCGTAGACTCTCATGAGTTCTTGCCAGTTCTGGCTGGTGAAACGATTATCTCTATCCCTAACTATTGACAATGGGATTCCATTCTCACTAACCCAAAAGTCAAAGAACTTCTGTATAACTAAGTCTATACGTGCCTCTGCAGGCAAGGGAACAAAAACGGCATACTTACTAAAACGGTCCACTATGACCATGACTTGGCTCTTACCATGTCTGCTCTTGACTTGGGTGTCCATGAAGTCTATGGACACGGAGTCTGCCAGCTGATCCGGAATAGGCAAGGGTCTGAGAAGACCTAGGGGCGCGCGTGTAGTAGACTTATTCCTTTGGCACACTTCACAACTGCGGACATACTCTACGCAGTCATTCTTCATCCTTGGCCAGGTATATGCACGCATCAGGTTGGCTAATGTCTTTTGCCAACCGAAATGCCCTTCAGTATCGTGGCATTCCCCTAAAATCAAATTGCGAATCTCTTCGCTGTTGGGAACGCACAGGCGGTCAAACACGTTAGTCTTCTCAAACAGCAATCCATCTGTAGTGCGGTAATCTGATTCAGTCTCTGGGGCCTCTCTAACTCTCTTTAGGAGGTCGCTATAAATAGGGTCCTGCGCATACGCTTGCTTTACTTTCTCCTGCAGGTCTCTCCCTACATCCAGATAATGTACTATGGCTCCAAAGTAGTCTGATCTCCTACTCAGAGCGTTCGCAACTACATTATACTTGCCCTTCACTGGATTAAGCTCAAAGTCATATTGGTCTATCTCTGCGGCCCACCTAGTGAACTTCGGTGTCATCTTGGCCTGGGTCTTTAACCATCTAAGGGTCTCGTGGTTAGAATACACTTTGAAGTGCCTCCCAAGCAGGTAATGCTTCCAATGGTCTAGAGTCTGCCTGAGAGCGTCGAGTTCTCTCTCGTGCGTCGAGGTGGCTACCTTCTTTGAGGGCATCCTCGCGGACATGAACTCTATGGGTCTATAGCCATGGCCGTCATCCTGTTGCAACACGGCGCCTATTCCATACCGACTTGCGTCCGTGGTGACGACAAATGGCAAGAACGGATCAGCTACTTTGAGGACAGGATACTCTATTAACGCGCGCTTTAACCTCTTGAGCGCAGACGTACAATCTTTGTCCCATTGCCAGATTGCCTCTTTCTTAAGCAATCTGCGCAGGGGAGCGGCGATAGTGGAGAAGTTCCTCACAAACTTCCGATAGTAGTTGGCTAGGCGTAAGAATGACCGCAACTCTATCAATGTGCGGGGCGTCGGCCAATCTCTAATTGTCGCTATCTTGCTGTCCTCTGGCTTAATGCCATCTCCGTCCAACACGTGGCCCAAGTATAAGACTTGCGTCTTGGCCCACTCGCACTTCTTCGCGTTGATCTTGAAGTTAGCCTCTCTAAGCTTCTCCGAGACCTGCCTCAGATGACCCCGGTGCTCCTGGAGGGTCCTACTAAAAACTAAGATGTCATCTAAATAGACTACTACGAACTTGTCTAACCATGGCCTAAACAGGTCATTCATACAACGCTGAAAAGTAGTTGGCGCGTTGGTTAGTCCAAAGGGTATTACTATGCCCATAACGAGTCCGGAACGCAGTCTTGTACTGATCATAAGGATGGACCTCTATCTGATGATAACCGGACTTTAAGTCTATCTTAGAAAAATACTTACAACCCTACACCCGATCTAAAAGATCGTCTATCCTGGGAAGCGGCTCAGCATTCTTCACTGTGATAGCATTCAAACCCCTATAGTCTATACACATATGAAGCTCTCCTTCCTTCTTGGGGACAAACAGAACTGGTGCTCCAAAAGGAGACAAACTGGGCCTGGTCCAACCTTTCTCAAGAGTTCGTCTAACTGCTTGCGAAGCTTCTCTAACTCTCTAGGGGACATCCTGTAGACTGCTCCCTTAGGAGTTCTACCGCCAAACTCTATCTCTATCCTATGTTGGATGGGTCGCGGCACTACTCCTGTCGGCGACTCAGTCAAGTCCTTAATCTCTTCCAGCAGCTTGGCAATCGTTGGATTTGTGGAACTATCCCTTTCATGGGCCTCGGTGACGGGTCTAACATAAACTACAAAGACCTGGTCTTCTAGCTGTTCCTTTTTCACCAATCGCGCGAACGCGGGAGCATTGAGACAGCAATGTGCCAAGGTGTTGTTTACACCTGACACATGAAACAAGCGGGTGGTCTTTACCTCACCTGATGGACTAGGGAGCCTGCACTCATGCTTTCTCAAATGGAGTGTGGCCCCTGCTGCCTCTCCCCAATCCATTCCTAGTACTACGTCAAAAGGAAGGTCATCCTGTACGAGGAAAGTCAGGGAATGGAGAACTTTCTCCACCTTCCCATCCTTCTCTAGGCGAAAGTACGCCTGGACTCCCTCTACATAGTCCTCAACTCGCATTGTGCGGTTGTCTGCGAGGACACTGACTATGGGGTCTGCTAACTTCTGGACTTTTAATCCCAGCCTCAACTTCTTCAGCACCCTACGGCTAATATAACTGCGGGTGGCCCCTGAATCTATAAGGGCCCCTACCCTACTCCTAAACACCTCTACGTCTACCAAGATCAGTTGTCCTTTACTACAGCTAGACTTCTAGAACATGCTAAGACCTACAGATCGAACCTCTGCTGCCTATGGACCTACGACAGACCTACCAACTGTCTACGAATACACAGGTCACAGGTTCAACTCTCGGGGTCTACACAGATACT